AACATACATCGCTGACCATATAGAAGAGCTGCAGTTGGATGCTGCTCCGAGTCAGCCGCTACAGGTACTAGAATTGGGCGCTGGTGCGGGCCTTCCAGGAATCCTTGCAGCCAAACGTTACCCTCATCTCCGCATCACGTCGAGCGACTATCCAGACGCCGAACTCATCCGTGCTTTGGAAGCTAACGTTAAATCCAACGGCGTCTCCGATCGCTGTCGCGTCGTGCCCTATGCTTGGGGTTCGGATACAACCGCCCTGCTCGCGGGAACAGATCGTAATATTGACGGACACGCCGTGTCAGGATTCGATGTCGTCGTAGCCGCAGATACTCTGTGGAACCCGGAGCTGCATGCGCCTTTTATCGACACTCTTTGCAGGACATTGGCGAAGACCGCTGGTGCGCGGATACGGCTTGTCGCCGGATTGCATACAGGGCGATATACCCTGCAGGCGTTCTTTGGTGCTGTCAAGAATGCAGGCTTGGATATCGAGAAAGCGGTCGAGAGGGCGGTCAAGGGTGGGGAGCAGCGCGACTGGGATGTGAACAGGGCCGAAGACGAAGACGAACAGGAGCGAAGACGGTGGGTCGTATGGGTGGTCCTGAAGTGGAAAGACGCCGCTTGACATGTGGTGCCACAATGCATCGGCCGATGGAGGAAGGAGGGAGAGACAGCTCACTACCAGGTTAGTTCAGCACTCTTCTGGGAAACCCTTTCTGACGCGATCTTAGAAGGAAGGAAGAGAAGGCGGCGGCGGCCTCACGGCATGTGTATGAATCGACATGTACAGTTTGGAGGTGCGAAGATCCATGCCTTTCTGACTATTCAATGGCTGGCTGACATGCTTAAGCAGAAGGCGTGCTATCATTACTACCGCTTCTTTCCGGACAACAACAAAGTAAGCCAGGCTCAGATTCCAGAAGCCCGTGAAAGCCGCCCTCGAGCCGCGCCGCCCGTAACGCTACGTCACTACGGTCACGAACGTAGTGCACGATCTCACACACGCACCATGTGTACCCGCCCTTCCAGCAGGGCTGCTGGCGCGATATGCCCCTCATCACGAAACACTTCGACATCGCGTTGTACACCCATATTTATCGCAGCATCCGACGGGTCAATACCAGTCAATAACGGGGTTCTCATCTGGCCCCAGATAGTCTATCGCGCGTGCCTGGCCGGCGGGCCAGAGATTCCTGCCATGTATCCGCAAGCGCTATTCCCCGTACCTTGTTCAATCACCTCAGCCGCAAACACATAATCTGGCGCCTACATCGCACATGTGTGCACCCCGCACGATCGCGGGCCCACGCCGATTGGCCCATCATAGCGTATGTACGCTCGCCATCTGGTACAGAAATCCACAAAGATCTGTGGCCCGGCGATCGATTCCTCCTTGGATTTCCCGTTCGTACGCATTTTGCGTTGTACTGAAAGGACGACTGCGACTTATCGATGTGGTGTTCTGGTCGTCGGGCATCAAGGAGTTCTGGACAAATGGCGAATACCCGGAGGATTGTGTCGGATGCAGCCGTTGCTTTGGCCCTTTGGGATTTGTCGCTGGAAAGCAAGACGCGGCCATAGGGTGAAGGCAGAGCACGCCTATTTGCAATCTCGATAAGACGAGGGCGCTGATGTGGCTGGACGGTACTGCACGTTGGTCAGAGACGATATCATCGGACGGAGTACGGTTCAATGGGGCGTCAGAGTCATGACGAAAGCTTGCAGCTGGGGTTCGGAGGGTCTTCACGGTGTTCTTTGGGTAAGCAAACCGAATCACTCGCTGCGCACTCTCGCAGAGACCAATACAAACAAGAAAATAACATCTATGCGGACTACTTCATACAAATGCGTATCATAACAAAGAGCAGTCCATAAACACCAACAACGATGCAGTCTAGTTCCCTGGCAGGAGATGCTTGCGTCCCTCCCTGGGCACAATGCGCACCATGAACGGCTCGGGAATCCGCGTGATCTCCTTGCCCCACTTCAGCGCTGGCGGAACCTCCTTTCCGTCAACGAGCTCAGGAAGAATGTCGAACGAGGAGAGCATCTGCGCGATCGCAGTCCAGACAGAGTTGTCCGCGACGTGCAGGCCAGGGCAGCGGCGGCGTCCGAAGCCGAAGATCACGTCGCGCGGGTCGGAGGGCACCTCGCCGAGGTCGGTGCCGTCGACGAAGCGGTGGGGCAGGAATTCGGTGGGGCGCGGGCAGGCGTTGACCATGTCGCTGGATATAATGGTGAGTTTTGGTTATTAATGGCATTAACTTCGGAGACTTACTAAATGCTGGCGATGATGCTGGTGCCCTTGGGGATGAAGTAGCCGTTGTAGACGTCATCCTGAATAACAGCATGCGGGATGGCGATTGCGAGAGGGCACGCCCAGCTGTGCGACAATGTCAGACTTCGCGTTGCAACACTATGCCGGCTTTGAACTCACCGGTACACCTCCTTGATGAATGCCTCGAGGTAAGGAATGTCGGGACGGTCGTCCAGAGTGGGCAGACGATCATTGCCGATGACAGCATCGATTTCTTCCTGTGCCTTGCGCTGAGCGTCGGGGCTGTGGGCCATTGCCATGATGAAGGAGGTGAGGGTTGCAAGAGTCTACGACAGTGATGTGAGTGCGACTCTCTGCTATGTTTTAATGAATGTACTGACCGTGTCCTGACCAGCTATTCGATCGAGTAATTGTTAGCATTGCGTAACGAATTCCTGGTCAGCGACGCTCACCTCCGTACAAGATACCCGCAAGGCCACGAAGGTCCCACTCATCCTCAGCAGAGATTCCGTCGAGCCCACCCAGACTGTTGATAGCGTCATTGACCAAGGAAGGGCGAGCACTGCCGTCTCTCTATTTCGAGTAAGAAACGTCCCAGATCAACGCGAATCCAAAGGAAAATACTCACAATCTTTCCTTTTGCCATCTCATATGGCACACCATTCGCCCTGACAACTTCCTCAGCAATGGCGGCCGTCGACTTCTTGAAACCAGCGAAGGGTGCCCAGTCGGGGTACGACGTGTAGAACCATCTGCAGGAGTCGCATTAGACAGCAGTCGATAGCGCGAGAAGACTCGAGGCGCACTTCAAACGCGGGAACACATCGACGAGGGCACCCGCAGCTTGGTAGGCCTCCGCAGACTGCCTGACCGCCTTGTTTGCTACAGGTCGAGACAAATGAGTACCTAGGCACGTAAGGCACAGACAAGACCTACCCGATTTTACGAGGTGGTGCTCATCAGACGTAATGTCGAGGTCGTACGCCAGTCGGAAGATTGTCGAGGTGGCATAGCTGTCAAACGAAGGGCGTCAGCGCGCGGCAGTGCGAACGAAAGAAGAAGCACTCGCATGAGGATAGTGTCCCGGAATTTCTCCGGCTGCGTCTTGAGCGCGGACAGGAGGCGACCAGAGAGCTCCTCGTGCATAAGCGTGTATCCGCGCGCCGCCGTGGGGTTCAGCAGGGCCTGAGAGAGACGTCTGTGTTTGCGGAACTGGTTTCCGTAGCGCATGGTCGGCATAGCTGCGTCCCAGCCCAAACTAAAAGCAGGTAAGGAAGTTACCTTCGGAGATGTACGTTAGGCTTACATTTCGTTCTCGAGGATCATGTTAGGCCGGTCAGAATAGATGGCACCACGTTTCTCCAGAAGCTCGTTGGCGACCGACAGCTTGTTCACGATAACGTTGTTGAACCCCAAGACGTTGAACTGGACCATCTCGCCTGACAGATCGCGTCCCATAAGCACATTGTCTTGTTACACAAGCAGCACAAACGACGCACCATACTGCCGACTCCATGCCGTGAAGAGTACCTGAGGACACTCGGCCTTGATGACATCAAGGATGCTTCCGATGAAGGGATAGCCAGTAGGGCCTGGAGGCAGCTTCGAATTGTGAGCCCTCCGACGCATGTAAAAGAAACCGAGCGAAAGGAGGCATGCAGCGGAAACCACAGGCAATGAGACGACGTCGGTGAGTGCCATGTCGAAACGGCAGGAGGGGAGATGGGCGAAGATGGGCGTCGCGCAATTTCAACGCAGGGACATTTATCGTATCAGCGTTTGCTGGCGCCGATGACAATGGGCAGCGCAAAATCGTACGGTCATTGCCAGACCGCAATGCGCGGACGCTGATGTCGAGTTCCGAGGCGCTTAGCCCCAACGATCTAGTGAGGCGCACCTCCATATGTCAAAAGGCGTGCGCATCAGATGTCCGGGATCAGCTCAAGTTCTTCGCCCAGAAAGCATAAATGACACCTGTAAATATTGGGTTGCTGGGAAGTGGAAGAGGGCGGCAGGTGGGGATCACATTTGAGGAAATGACATTGCGGCAAAGGCACATATCCACGTACGCGTTGTATCTGCACATCCTTTTGTGCGCCGCAATCAGGACCTTCGTTGGAAATTTACGATACTGACTGTCGTAGGCAATGCGCCGTCTTGATCGGCGGTAACCGTCCTCACCGCCGTCCGCTTATTGGCTTGCGATTCCAAACACATTCAGATCTGCTCCTCTTCGGCACCGGTCGAGGGGTTAGAAATCTACTTGACCTACTTATGCCATCTCATGCATTGACAGGGGACAGTTTCCATCCATATAATGATGCGATGTCGCTTGGCAGCCGCGGGATGCCTTTGCGTCATCGTCTGTGTGTCACTCTGTTCTATTCATTGCAGGGTAAGAAAGCAAACAAATAGTCAGCTCACCGCTTGCGAAAGCTCGACACAGTGTTCTCGTTATTGAGACCGTTACCATTACCAGGCGAGGCGCATTTTGAGTCCTTCCTTAATGCCATAAAGCTCACGATAACATTTGAAGGTTAAGGTGATCGTGATTTCGAGCAGGAGCTTTCACAGAGCATTTACTCGTCATAGACTCTTGCAATTGAAGCGAGTGCTTGCAATAGTAGACGAAGTATGTAGATACTCGAGTACTCGAGTACAGCATAATCCACCTCTAATCTCTAGCAATCGACTTGTATTATAAAAAAGAAAATGTATCTATGGCAACATGGCCGAGCGGTCTATGGCGTGTGACTCAAGCTTAAAAGCTTGCCTGCCGAGGCGGGTTTCTCATCCAAGTTATTTGGGCATGGGTTCGAATCCCATTGTTGTCACTTTTACATTAGTATCCAGATACTTTGCTTTATTCGCATGACACGCGAGGAGGAAGGGAGGTTTAAAGAACATGAGACTATTCTCTGGCCATGTTTTTTTTCTTGACATGTCCTTCAGTCTCTGAGGCAAGTTGATGGCCATCATTTTTATCTCCTGGTGTTTCGATAAGAAGGTGACAAACTGGCAGGTGGGAATGCTCAGACGTGGACGGTCTGATGATAGGTGAAAGAGAAACAAGAGCCCATAAGTACACTTAGAGAAGAGGAGCATTCAAATTGTACAGTGAATTAAGGCTGCATGACAATAGGACGTCTACCGGTGGTCCCTAATCGGAGGGCACTACAAATCGGCGACCCTTCCTTGGCAGGATGCGACACTTGAAAGGTGCCAGGTGCCTGCACAAATCACTCTATAAGCACATGGATTTTGTTCCTACACTTGTAGCCCACGTTACCTGGTCGATACTTCCTCAAATTCTGCCCGTGGAGGACATTCCTTTCCGTTCACAATCTCCGACAGGAAGTCAAAAGATGCGAGCATCTGGGCGATCACTGTCCAAATTGAATTGTCTGCAATGTACACGCCCGGGCAGCGGCGTCGTCCAAAACCAAATATAATGTCGCCCGGATGAGCTGGGACGTTGCCACGATCAGTGCCGTCGATGAACCGATGTGGGAGGAACTCTGCCGGTCGCGGGCAGTCATTGCACATGTCTCTACAGATGCTATCAGTCATGTAAAAACACAGGTGAAACAAGAACTGACACCAGGCTCGTGATGATGACCGTATCCTTCGGGATGAAGTAGTCGTTGTAGATGTCGTCTTGTATCACAGCGTGCGGTACACCCCGCGCAATCGGGACGGTCCACCTTTACGAAACAAATGGTCAGACAAGGAGTGATTTGAGAACGAAAGGATACTTGCCGATATAGTTCCTTGAGGATGGCCTCGAGATATGGGAGGTCTGGGCGATCATCGAGGGTGAGAGGCCGGTCAGAAGCAATATTTGTATCAATCTCCTCTTGAGCCTTCCGCTGCACGTCGGGGTTTAGGACCATATTGAGAACAAATGCAGTCACGGCGGCTATCGTCTAGGATGTGTGAGGTGACGGTGCGAAAGGTTGCGTGATGGAGCGTCGAGACGCACCGTTTCTTGACCCGCTGTACCAAAAGTATTAGCATAATCTTTCTTTTTACTGAAGCGACATACATTACCTGCGTACAGAATTCCAGCCAAGCCGCAGATGTCTTCCTCATCTTCTTTGGATACACCATCGATGCCTCCGGCATCTCTGATAGCATCATGAACGATCGACTTTCCAGCACTCCCGCTTCGCTTCGGTATAAGTTAGAAAACATTAGCACCAGGCAGCACGTAGTACTCACGATATTATCTTTCGTCATATTAAAAGGTGTCCACTTCGCGCTTTCTACCTCGCGGCGAAGATTGACAACGCGTCTTTTGAATCCGGCGAAAGGTGCCCATTCAGGGTACCACTTATAAACCCATCTGTGACGAGTTGAGCGACGGTCGCAACAAGAAAGCGAGAGTACCCACTTTATCGAAGGAAGAAAGTTCACTATGGCTCCCGTTACCAACGTTTCGGCCGACTTTCTGATGGCCTCGGTGGCTATACCAGAGTATTTTCAGTATACAGTACACCATGAAGAATATTCGCTACTTCGCCACTTACATGCAGCAATCAGATGGCGGCTTTCGGGCGACACAACATCCAAGTCGTACGCGATTCGAAATATCGTCTCAGTCGCATACCTGAAACCACGAGACATCCAATATTGTGGAATTAGGGCGTAGAACATAGGCGAACTACTCACGTGAAGATATGCTCTCGGAATCTCTCAGGATCAGCCTCAATCGACGAGACCAACTTCCTCGAGAGCTCGGCGTGCATGCTGCCATATGCCCACACGGCATTCACGTTGAAATGGGCCTGTGAAAGCCTCCTGTGTTTCCGAAATAGAGGACCGTATCGCAGAACGGGCATGGCTCTCCCCCATCCGCCTCTAAGAATTCGAAGGGATCAGATTTTGAAGTGTACGCGACGAAAAGCTCACTCACAGTTCTGTGAAAAGGATGAGTGGAGGTCGATCGGAGTAGATAGCGCTGCGTTTCTCTAAGAGATCGACGGCTGTTTGATAGTCCGTCAGGACGAGAGTTCGCGTGCCCAGCACAGTGAACATAAACATGTTCCCTGGCATTCGCAGCTCAGCGTTGTACGATCCGATGTACCTAATGAAAAATTTGACCTACCGTATTTACGAGTCCATTCGGGAAAGAGGAGAGGAAGTTGCTTAGCGCTAAGGATTTCGATCAGACTCCCGATGATGGGATAACCTCGTGGACCAGGAGGGAGCCTTGTATTCCGCCTCGAAGGTTGACGGCCGTGATAGTAGTGAACGATGCCCCAGAGCGTCAGACAAGAGACAGTAACGAGAGAGACGGACCCTAGGCGGTCGACCGGCCGGGATGCGAGGGCACTAGACAGCATAGTAGACATAGAGGCGGGAATCAGTGTACGCAGAGATAGCCGCTGGGCCTCTGAAATGTCGACCTATCAGACGACCCGTCTGGCACGGAGGACTTTTAACAAAGCATCGCGTGCTCCGCTAGCTGGTGGTCCGATTCTAGTTCCTTGTATGAAACAAGTAACTGTTTGTCAGACTTCCGAGCCTAGATGACACCAGGCTTCTAGGTGAACGTATACGGAGCGCGCATGTACCGTATCCCTGGCAGTCTGATGAAACACGTCCTTGAATAGACCGATATGACGTTCATTGCTTTACCTGTACTTGAATACCTTAGCGCAACGGATGCGAAAGCCGTGTTCTGCAGAAGATTGATTGGAGACAAAGGGACAGGAAATATAAGGTGGAAAGACGTAAGGAGGTGGAGACAATAGGAAAAGCAACCTCAGTACTGATGAGATGAAGTTGACAGAGCAACCGACTGTTGACGTTTCCTCGGTAGAATGCGACATTTGAAAGGCACAGGGTATCTGCCCGGGGTATTATATCATCAGCACAAACCATTCCTGTCCTCGCAGATACGTGACTGACCGAGCTGAGGCTTCTTCGAACTCCACTAATGGAGGGCGTTCCTTCCCGTCTACCAGCTCTGGCAAGAAGTCGAAGGATGCAAGCATCTGCGCCATCGCCGCCCAGACCGAATTGCTCGCGATATACGAGCCCGGGCAACGGCGTCTTCCGAAGCCGAACACAATGTCACCCGGGTCGGCGGGGACACTACCGAGATCAGTGCCATCGGTGAAACGGTGAGGAAGGAACTCGTCCGGTCGCGGGCATGCGTTACACATGTCACTTCAGGTGTGGTCAGTCGAGCGAAGTAGTTACGGTGCTATCAGGGCTTACAGGGCGCTTGCAATGACGACTGTATCCTTTGGAATAAAATAACCATTGTAAACGTCGTCTTCCATCACGGCGTGAGGTACCCCGCGAGCGATTGGAACAGTCCAACTGTGCAGAATTGCCAGTCAGATGAGACGACTCTTTAAGACGAAAAAGCTTGCCGAAATAGCTCTTTCAGCATAGCCTCAAGATATGGAAGGTCAGGGCGGTCGTCAAGAGTTGGAAGCCGGCCAGAAGGAATGGTTGCGTCGATCTCTTCCTGGGCCTTACGTTGCACGTCCGGGCTGATGACCATAGCCAGAACGAAAGCGGACAAGGTGGCCATTGTCTGACACCGACGTGAGAGATAAAAACTTCACATATCCAAATATGAAATGTTGGGACAGACCGTCTCCTGCCCCGCTGCGAAGTAATGTCAACATAACACTAAAGGCTCTCAGAGAAATTGATTCGTACCTCCATATAATACCCCAGCTATCCCGCAGAGGTCTTCCTCGTCTTCCTTTGAGATGCCACCGAGGCCGCCAGAGTCCTTAATGACATCGTGGACTAGCGACGGCCCCGCGCTCCCATCCCGCTGTGATCTGTATTAGACACATTGAGGTCGAAAATAAGCAGTACTTACAATCCTATCTTTCGTTATGTTATATGGGATCCACTTCGAGCTTTCGACCTGTTTCCGGAGAGCCACTAAATCTTTCTTGAAGCCAGAGAATGGCGCCCACTCAGGATACAGCTTGTAGATCCACCTGCGACAACATGAGTGAAACACAAAAAGGATGAGAATCGAATTACTTTGTCGACGGGATAAAGTTCACGATGGCGCCATTCACAGCCGCCAGCGAAGATTTCCTGATGGCCTCCTCAGCTAGAGAACGCGCTCGTCAGCAGGAAAAAATATGAATATCAGGTGCTAGCGGCTTACATGCTTCAATAAGGTAGCGGCTTTCCGGAGACGCCACGTCCAAATCGTACGCAAGTCGGAAGACAGTCGCACTGGAATACCTGCGATTATTTCGGGAGGAAGCTGAGCATTGTACTTCATACATGATCCCAGCGGAGCTACTCACAGGAGAATATGTTCTCGGAACTTCTCCGGGTCAGCAGTAAGTGACGATAACAGCCGCCCAGCGAGTTCAATATGCAGACTTGCATATCCCTGCACGATCCTTGGGTTGAGGTACGCCTGAGTAATCTTCCTATGTTTGCGTAGCATTGGCCCATAACGCAGGAGTGGCATAGCCCTCCCCCATCCGCCCCTGCATCGGGTAGAAAATCAGTTTTGCGCAAAGGCAGACGCACGAAGCTCTGAACTCACAGTTCTGTGAACAACACGAGCGGAGGTCGGTCCGAATAGATGGCACTACGCTTCTCAAGAAGGTCTACAGCGATTTGATAGTCTCCAATTACAAGTGTCCGAGCACCAAGCACGCTGAACATGACCAAGCCGCCTATAGCTTTCAATCAGTCTCGGTGTCTTATGAAAATCTCGCATTGAACATACCATAAGTGCGGATCCATTCATGAAAAAGGAGGGGGAATTTTCTCGCCTTGACTATCTCAATCAAATTGCCAATGAAAGGGTGACCACGCGGTCCGGGAGGAAACTTGG